AACTGATTATTTATTAAATAACATTTGATGTTAAGTTTTGTTAGGATTTGCTGTTGAATAGTTTAGAATTCACTCAACAAGTTAATTAGTGAATAATAATTTGTTAGCTCAAGGGAAAAGGTAACCATCAGTACTATTAATCTCAAACATTTTAGCATGGCTCATTCGTGAAAATATATTTGACTTGTAATAAGTGTGACGGTCGAATCAATTGAACACACCACATGAATCTAAATTAAGTGACTTGAAAAATACAAAATTCACTTTTAAAGAGTCTAAATTATAAGTCATGTTGGTGATAAAATATTTCCGCAATTAAATCAATAATTATAGATAAATTTTGTTAATAATATTATTGTTTATTATCTAAATTAAATAAATAAAATCTATTTTTTTCATAAGCTTTCTATTAAGTTGAACAGTATCACATAACTTCGGACAGAGGAGAGAACAATAAACCAATGAAGTGCCTTTTTTTAGGGATGAAAATGGAGCGGGGTGTGGGGCGTGTGGGATGCAGGGAAGGTTGAAGTTGGTTTTTTTAAAACTAATGTGGGGGCGGGTTGCGGGTATATGTGATTTTATGTAGGTTTAAACTTAATTTTAATTTTTTTTACATGTTATAAGAGTGATAGAACATTATTTATTAAGATAATTTCTTTAAAGCTACTAAATATTCAAGATAGTAAATGAAAATGGCTCAATAAAAAATAATTCAAATTCTTACATGTTTCCCAAATGAGAGTCCGGAACCTAAATAAGCCACAAAAAGATAAAAGTGACCAAAATAGGCCACTATTCTAGTAAGTAACCAAAATAGGCTTAGTGGAAAAAAAAAATTGTTTTATGAAATATTCCAAACGTTTTCCGTTAGCCTCATAACGTGTATATTTTAATATATAATGAAACTATTTTTTACACTTTATAAAACGGAACTATTTCTTACAATTTGTAAAGTGTAAGTTTTTCTTACACTTTATAAAGTGGAAGTTTTTCTTACACTTTATAAAATGAAAGAAAATCTTACACTTTAAGAAAAGTTACTCTTTATCTGTACATTATGTATAACGTAAAGTGAGAAGAAATGCTAAATCTCAAACTATAAGAGAGTCCAAAATCTTTTACTCCAAGAATCAAAGAATTAGTCAAATATGAAAGATTTATATTTTTCCTTTAGGTAAATTAAAACTAATTATAAAAATAATATTCTGTCAAACAACATCATTTGGGTTCCACTGGCTCGCGAGCAACAATCTACACCACACTATTTCATCAGTACAAACATGGATTTGATGATGTCTAGCTTGTGTTTGGACATACGATATGAAGTCATTATTTATAATTAATAATTGAATATGCAATTTGGAATTATGATTTGAAATTTAATTTCAAATTCTCCAAAAAGCATGATCCGGGATTTCAACTTTTGAAATGTAAAATTTGATGTGTATATATATATATATAAAAGAGACCCGTCATTCTGAATTTCGCAAAAGTAACTTTTCTTGAAATGTAAGATTTTCTTCCACTTTATAGAGTGTAAGAAAAACTTCCACTTTACTAAGTGTAAGAAAAACTTACGCTTTACAAAGTGTAAGAAATAGTTCCGTTTTACAAGGTGTAAAAATTAGCTTTGTTATATATTAAAACATACACGTTATGAGACTAACGGAAACGTTTGGAATATTGCATAAAACAGAATTTTTTCTTCCACTAAGCCTGTTTTAGTTACTTACTAGAATAGTGGCTTATTTTGGTCACTTTTATCTTTTTGTGGCTTATTTAGGTTCCGGACGCCCCAAATGACCTCTAAAAAATAAAATTTTAAGTCACTATCCTATTATTTTAATACAACTTAATGAAAAAATGAATTTATTTATATGAACTTTATGTTAGTATGAAAAATAAAATATTAAAAAAATATGCCAGGCGGGTTCATCTGGAGCGGGTCTATGCGGAACGGGATGAAAATGAAAAAAAATGTTATGCAAAGCGGGGCGGGGCGGGGCAGATTAAAAATTTTACGATTAAGCTCAACCCGCCTCGCCCCACACCGCCATTGCCATCCCTACTCTTTTTTCACTTAAATATTTTTAAGTAAACAAGAAAAACTACTATTTAATAATTCATTTGGTTCATCCATTAAATTTGACATTTTAATTGAAAAAACAATTAATGATTAGCATCATAATTCATAACTTAATCACCGACAAAGGTTAAATTACTAATGTCCTTAAAAGATTCCATTAGTTAAGCTAAATTAATATTGTTAATCCTCCTAAAAGATATTGATGTATAAACAAGTACAAATCTTAGTTACATTGACCTAGTCAAGAATTACTACCGACAATTCTATTCTCTTTTTTTTTTTAAGTGTATTATAATTATCGTGGTGGTTTCTTATAATTTTTTGTTACTACATGAGTTGTGTGGGAAGCTCCACCCTTCAGTGGGCCCTGACCTGCAGTTTGCAATTCAGATTTAATTAGGGTTCCAATACGAAATACAAACACCGAATGAAAAAAATATTTTGATTATTTGCATAATTAATTGAGGAAGAGATGAAATCAGTTGGAGAATAATGGTTGAGAAGTGCTCACCATTTTCTTAGACCTAAAGGTGGGTTTGATTCGTGTATTTTGCACCAACATCACAAATTTAATCATCTTTAAATTTGGTTTTAGGTTTATAATTAAATCTTTGGTCACGAACGATTTTTTTAGTTATGGTCGAAAATTCATCATTAATTATGCACTTTCTGTGACAAAAAATATTTTCGTACTCAAATGAATGCATCAAGCATGAGTCACATATTTAACAAATATGTTGTTTATAAAGCTTTCCCATAAAAAAAATGAATTGACGTCAATTATCAAATAATTTTAGTCACTAATTTCATTAAAAATGTTTAGTCTACAAAATAAAGTTCATTAAAAATGTTGAGTCTACATATCTTTCTCATACACCATAAAAATTAATTGGTGTGTTGTAAAACTAAAGCAAAATAAGATAAGAAATATAGAAGATGAAAATAATAGAAATAGGGAGACAAGAGATGAGAGTTTTTCTTATTATTTCAAGTCTTCAAGTGATACAATATGAACCCTTATGCCTCTATTTATAGTGTAACATAGAGGCATAAAAAAGGTTAGTCATAAACATGACATTAACATGAATATAATGGAGGAGGTTATAGAAGTGAAAGGTTACAAGAATAATGGTTATAAAGTTGGAGGTTATGGTTATCTTCATAATGAAAGAAAGTAATGGAGATAATGGGAGAGAGTAATTTCTTGGTGTAGTGGACATCCACACTAAAATATTTTATAACATGGTGTCAATAATAAGGTAATTTTAGCCATGAAATTGAGGATATTGATGATAATAATTTTTCTCGCTACTTTTTATGAAAATTTATGACAAATCATTATTTATCTTTAAGTTCGTGTAAGTTTGGATACAAAAACTGCGCCCTTGCTTCTTGCTTTCGAGCCGGAGCATGCTGGGTAGTGAAGTGGTCCGTGAAGATTAAATAAGACTTGTTTTAAGCAAGCAGAGTAGTCAAGCCAAAAAAGCAAGAAGCGGTTTTCGTTCGATCGACGGAATCAATTGTGATTCCTCGCTTCGGATGAAGCAGAGTTTACGAAGTTGAAGTTCGATCTCAAGTTGCCTGCATGCACCTATAAGACATGGAAAGGTATTAAAGGTTTCGTCACAAAAATTTATGACAAATCATTATTTATGACTAGAGGTCTCGAGTTTGATTCCCTTTGGATATAGAGTCGTTGCCTTTGTTAGGGAGCGCTTTATCTCTAATGTGCGACTTCCCAACGCAAATTCGACTTTAATCGAGACTCCAATATGAATATTGAACACCGAATTGAAATAAAAAAACTTATATTACACAGTCATGTTGTTAATAATTAATATCTAGGTTATGCTCCCCTTCTACAAAGTGTAATTCACAATTAATAGCAATAAATTTTTGACTTAGTTCGAATTTCTTTTAACAAAAGAGTCACCATCCAAATTATCTAATTCGAGACCATTTCTTAAGAAGTTTCTTATTATAATTGCATGGAAGTTTTCTCTAAATAACCATATATTATTTAATGTATTTGTATTAGTTAAATAACTAATAACTTAATAAATATTTTAAATAAGGTCTTGATTAACTAGTCGCGTGAAAATCAACTTGATATTATTTTGGATGACCCTTATATAGTGACCTATAGATTTACATACAAAAATCTGAAGTTACTAAATTCAACAGGGTTTTACTTGCGAAAAATATTTCCCCAAAAGGGTTACTTGGGGAATTATGTGGGCATAAGTCCAGAGGTTAGATATACTATTTACATTAATTGTCATTGCAATGTGTGATAAAGATAAAAGTTCAAATAACTAATCAACGGAGCTACTAACATTCCCGATTAATTGTTACTTAGATTGGAACTACTAATATTCTCCAGTTTATTGTAACTTAGATTTTATTATATCTTATCATTGAATTTATTGACTGTTAAAACCCACATTTTTTACAGCAACTGATTTAATGTAATTGATGAGAGCCTCAACTTATAAATAACTCTATATAAGGACGACAAAATAAGAAAAAGGACCAAAAGAAAGAGTAGAGAGAAGGGAAAACATAAAACCATTTAGTAATAACTTATTTTATACATCTCATAATCTCCGCATTTTGAATGGAGATCGAACAAACATATTACACAAATAAATAGAAGTAAAATATAAATATAATGAAATCAAGCTATAAAAGTAATTTGCCTCCTGTCTGGGCTTATTTTCTTGTAGCTCAACATTCCGCTTTCCTGCATAAGAATATAATATTGTGAATGAGAAACCTAAACCAAATAAGATGTAGACAGCATAGGTCTATATTAATGATTTGCTCGAAGAAATTGTGCAACTTCTATAGACATATCATAATTAAAAGTTTTAGTTTGGTTTAATTACCTCAGATATAATGAAATCGCTTCTTAGTAATGGTAGGGAGGAGGGGGAGAGGTGTAAAGATAGTGGGGTGGTGGTGGAGACTTGTAGACTGGAGTTGGTGGTGGTGGAGAGTTGTAAACCGGAGTTGGTGGTGGTGGAGAGTTGTAAACCGGAGTTGGTGGTGGTGGTGACTTGTAGGTTGGGGTGTGTGGAGGGTAGTATGGCTCCTTGGGTGGTGGTGGCGACTTGTAGGTCGGGGTGTGTGGAGGGTAGTATGGCTCCTTGGGTGGTGGTGGCAACTTGTAGACTGGAGTTGGTGGAGGTGGTGACTTGTAGGTTGGGGTATGTGGAGGATAGTATGGCTCCTTGGGTGGTGGTGGTGAGCTGTAAACGGGAGTTGGTGGAGGTGGAGACTTGTAGACTGGAGTATGTGGAGGATAGTATGGCTCCTTGGGTGGTGGTGGCGACTTGTAAACAAGAGTTGGTGGAGGTGGCGACTTGTACACTGGGGTGTGTGGAGGGTAGAATGGCTCTTTCGGTGGTGGTGACTTATAGACTGGAGTTGGTGGAGGTGGCGATTTGTACATTGGGCTGTGTGGAGGGTAGTATGGCTCTTTGGGTGGTGGTGGTGACTTATAGACTGGAGTTGGTGGAGGTGGTGAATTGTAAACGGGAGTTGGTGGAGGTGGCGACTTATAGATTGGGGTGTGTGGAGGGTAGTATGGCTCCTTAGGTGGTGGTGGCGACTTGTAAATAGGAGTTGGTGGAGGTGGAGACTTATAAACTAGAGTCGATGGAGGTGGCGACTTGTAAACTGGAGTGTGTGGAGGGTAGTATGGCTCCTTTGGCGGAGGTGGTGACTTGTAAATAGGATTTGGCAGAGGTGGCGACTTGTAGATTGGAGTTGGTGGAGGTGGCGACTTGTAGGTTGGGGTGTGTGGAGGGTAGTATTGCTCCTTTGGTGGTGGTGGCGACTTGTAAATGGGAGTTGGTGGAGGTGGCGACTTGTAGGTTGGGGTGCGTGGAGGGTAATATGGCTCCTTGGGTGGTGGTGGCGATTTGTAGGTTGGGGTGTGTGGAGGGTAATATGGCTCCTTGGGTGGTGGTGGCGACTTGTACACTGGAGTGTGGGGAGGGTAGTATGTCTCCTTCGGTGGTGGTGGAGAATTGTAAACTGGAGTTGGCGGCGGTGGAGACTTGTAAACTGGTGCGGGATTATAAGGTGTTGGTGAAGGGTGGTATGACTCATTTGGTGGTGGGGGAGATGAGTATTGATAATTAGCTGAGCTTTCGGAAGCTAAGCTAAGTGACACTAAAACAACTAAAAGAGTAGCAACTAGAGAGGCCATTTTCCCAATATTTGAAACAAAGGAGAGATGTTGTTGTCCTCTTAAGCTTCGATCAAACCCCTTTATATAGCTTTCTTTTAGACAATTACCCTTACCAAAATTTATACAAATGTAGGTAATATGGTAGAGTTATGCATTTTGATTTGGTCTTGTCATGTTGTTGGCTCAATTATGACTTTAGTTTGTATATTTAATTTAATGGATAGAGGTATCAAGCTAAGCAAATGAATAAACTATTAAGGGAACTATAGTACTGTTTGTGGCAAAATGATTCAAAGAGCTACAAAGTCTTCTTTTCTTACAGAATCTAGAAAAAAAATCGTGGATGCCTCAACTTTTCACTTAACTAACCTTCACACTGCTTAAATGGTATTGAAGAATATAGAAATTTAAAACAATATCACATATTTAATAGAAATGATTTGTCACAGACATCCTTTTGTAGAAAATTTATTGTTTAATAAATATGGATAAGAAGAATAGAATCCTAGACCTCTTCTAACTAAAACCTTGAATAAATCAACTATACAAATCTAATTAATCTTGTGTAGAAGTTTTGCTAATTGTAAATTATTAAGTATAGTTTTCCTCTATGAATAGGATGCTACATATGTTATCTACCTTCAGGTTCTGAATTCACCTCTGACCCCGCACTAATATATGTTATAAGAATAGATTATTATTAAATAATATTTGATGTTAAGTTTTGTTAGGATTTGTTGTTGAATAGTTTAGAATTCACTCAACAAGTTAATTAGTGAATAATAATTTGGTAGTTCTAGGGAAAAGGTAACTATCAGTACTATTAATCTCAAACATTTTAGCATGGCTCATTTGTGAATATATACATTTGACTTGTAATAAGTGTGACGGTCTAATCAATTGAGCACACCACATGAATCTAAATTAAGTGATCTGAAAAATACAAAATTCTCTTTTAAAGAGCCTAAATTATAAGTCATGTTGGTGATAAAATATTTCAGCAATTAAATCAATAATTATAGAAGAATTTTGTTAATAATAGTATTGTTTATTATCTAAATTAAATAAATAAAATCTTCTTTTTTTTCATAAGCTTTGTATCAAGTTGAACAGTATTACATAAGAGGAGAGAGCAATAAACCAAAGAAGTGCCTCTTTTTTTCACTTAAATATTTTTAAGTAAACAAGAAAAACTACTATTTAATAATTTATTTGGTTCATCCATTAAATTTGACATTTTAATGAAAAAACAGCTAATGATTAGCATCATAACTTAATCACCGACAAAGGTTAAATTACTAATCTCCTTAAAAGATTCCATTAGTTAAGCAAAATTAATATTGTTAATCCTCCTAAAAGATATGGATGTATAAACAAGTACAAATCTTAGTTACATTGACCTAGCCAAGAATTATTATTGTGGTGGTTTCTTATAATTTTTTGTTACTACATGAGTCGTGTAGGAAGCGTCACCCTTAAATGGGCCCTGGCCTTCAATTTGCAATCCAGATTTAATTGGAATTTCAATAGGGAATACGAACACCGAATGGAAAAAAAATATTTTGATGATTTGCATAATTAATTGAGGAAGAGATGAAATCAGTTGGAGAATGATGGTTGAGAAGTGCTCACCATTTTCTTAGACCTAAAGGTGGGTTTGATACGTGCATTTTGCACCAACATCACAAATTTAATCATCTTTAAATTTGGTTTTAAGTTTATAATTAAATCTTTGGTCACGAAATTTTAGTTATGGTCGAAAATTCATCATTAATTATGCACTTTATGTGACAAAAAATAATTTGTACTCAAATGCATGCATCATGCATGAGTCACATATTTTTAATGATGAAAAATAAATTTTGTAACAAATATGTTGTCTATAAAGCTTTCCCATAATTATATTTTTGATAAACAAGGATATTATATTAATAGCTAATATGCTTCATTACAGAGTAGTGGCTGCGAGGCTTGAAGTTGGGGGTAGTGCTGGCAGGGGGATCGGGTCGGCCCGCGACACCCGGTCCCGTAACTTCTCGCGGGTTGGGAGGGATGCGGGATAGGGGACCGGTTAGGGGCCGGTTCACCCTTTGGTCCCGGTCGAACCGGCCCGGTCCCGGCCGGTTTCGCGGGATCCCCTCAATTTTATTTTATTTATTTATTCTTTTAAAATTATATATGTTGGGACCGTTGGGGCAACGGCTAGTCCCCCCCCCCCCCCCCCAAACGGATTTATTCACCTTTTTCACTTTCCCAACACCCCCTACCACCCCCCTACTTTTAATACTTTAATTTAAAACCTCAAGTTATCATAAATACACTTTAACCCATTTTTAATATTATAAATACCCCTCTATCCCTTATTATTTCTTACAAAATCATCTATTCTCTCATCTATTTTCTATATCCTCTCAATTTTTTATTCCATTTAAGTCTCATATTACATCATAATACATATATTTCAATTCTAAATTTCCATATTATATCATAATATATATAATTCTCATATTTGCTATCAAGTATTGGAGTTCCAAATTACAAGTTACAACAAACTACAAGCTTCAAGAATCGGTTATAACGTCTACTATTAACGTAGACGTTTGGTACATTCGTTTCATAATATTTATATTTTATTTTTCATCATTAATTTTTGTGTTATTATTATTTTTATATTACACTTTACATATAATTAAATATGAGTTCTAGCAAAAAAGATACCGGTAAAGGAAAAGAGAAAGAACCAAGTGGCATTAGTAAATTATTTAATTTTAATAAAAAAAAGTAGTAAGGAAAAAAATAAGAGTAATTGTGGTGGTACTTCTTCTAAATCAATGTCTAGAGTTAGATTTAATACAAATGATTCTACTTATGTCGATGATACTTCTTATGATATTGATTCAAATGTTCAACTCGATCATGAAATTTTACAACAAATTTATGGTGATATTAATCCTTATCTTGATGAAAATTCAGGTGAAGAAGTAGAAGTTGGTTCGGGAGAAGAGGAATTAGAAGATACACCTACTAGTTCGGTGACAGAAGTTCCAAATGAAACTACAAATTCAACGGAGCAAAAAATTGTGGACGTCCATCCCTTATACCTCCTACAAGGGAGAAGGTGAAGTACCAACGCCCTAAAACTTCTGTTGTATGGAAATTTATGACTTTAGATAAGGAAAACTCTATTGTTATTTGTAATAAGTGTAAGCAACCTTTTAAACATAAACAGGGTGGAGGTCAAGGTGGGACGGGGGCTTAAATAGACATTTGTTATCTTGTGTGCCGATTCAATATAAAGAAGCTAAATCATTAGCCGATAGAAAAAAAGGAATTCCAGTTAATGATTTTGATATTAATGTTAATGAATCGGTAGGGGCTTCTAACATGGTTCAAGGAACATTAAATCCTTCTAACCCCGGTGATCCACTTACACAACGTAAATATAATAAGGAAAGAGATTGTGAAAATTTAGCTAAAATGGTTTCTGTTTGTGGTTTGCCTTATAGTTTTCCTTCACATCCCGATTTTATTGAATATATTCAACAAACTTATAATCCTACTTATAGAGGTTTTTCAAGAAATACTGTTAAATTTGATGTTTTTGTATATCAAGGTAAACATTGTCAATATCTTCGTTGTATATTTAGCATATTAAATTATAGAGTGTCTATAACTTCGGACATGTGTCGTAGTGTTAATGGACGTGATTATTTAACTGTTACAGCACATTGGATTGATCATAAATGGAATTTGCAAAAAAGAATCTTAAGTTATAAAGAATGTGTAGAGAAAAAAAAACTAGTGCATATTTAGCTTCAAATATTTTGAGTGTTCTAGATTATTACATGCTTATAGATAAAGTAATGCATGTCGCATTAGATAATGCATCTAATAATACAAACACTGTCAGTATGTTAAAAACTAGATTATGTCCAATTGATGTTAATTCTTTTCATGTTAGATGTGTTGCACATACATTAAATTTAGTTGTACAAGATGGTATTAAATTATTTAAATGTGGTTGTATGGAATATGTTGTTGCCTGAATTTTTTATGCTCATAGAGTTGCTAGAATTTGAGAATTTAATGAGCGTTGTGTACTATGTGATTTTCCACCAAGAAAAATTTCAAGACATATTAAAACAAGGTGGAATTCTTTTTACGAAATGTTTTCAGTTGCTTACGAATATAAAGGACCCGTACAAATGGTGTTTAATGCTCATAATGTTGACCCATTAGAGAGAATTTGTGAAGAATATTGGGAAGAAACTAATGAACTATTAGAATTTTTAAGACTTTTTTATGATGCTACAACCGTGTCTTCTGGAATTTATTATCCTACTATTTCATCAGTATTAAAAAATATTTGTGCTATTTCAATTCAATTTTCTAAATACAAAAAAATTGAAAAATTTAGAGTTGCAATTGAAGGTATGATTGAAAAATTTTAAAAATATTTTTTTCCTATTTCTCAAAATTTTTTAATTGCTACTTTACTTCATCCTGACTATAAATTACGAGGTGTGTAGGGACTTGTTGACACTTTTTATGATACTTTAGAAATTTTACCGGAAAAAAATCCAACTTGTGAAATGTGTAAGTCTAGCATAAAAGTAGAAGCAAAAGTTTTGTATGAAAAATATAGAACTACAGGAAATACTCAAGGAGAAGTTGGTCAAACATCTAATCCTCAAAGTAAAGCTCGAATTTCAAGTTATATGCGAGGTTTTCTTGGTCTTAATTCTATTAACCGTGATGATTTTGAAGAATATCTTAATCAATCTTTAGAACAGTGGAAGACGGAGATGGCAATGAAGATTTATTAGCATGGTGGAGGAGGCGGAGCGTTGCATTTTCAATTTTGAGCAAAATGGTTCGTGATGTTCTAGCTATTCAAGCTTCATCAGTTGCATCAGAGGCTGCTTTTAGTGTAGCAAGGTTTCAACTTGGCGATCATAGACATTCATTGGCGGAAGAAAGTTTGAAAACATCAGTTTTATTTAGAGACTGGGTCAACACCGAGAGGAGGAATTATAATTTGCCAACGTTAAGTTCCAAACAAGAAGTTTGGATTAATGAGGTAATTGGATCTAGTGATGATGAATTAGAGTCACACGAGTTTCTAGCAAGTTTGCCAACACCAGAGGATGTTACGGTCGATATGATGCGACAATTATAATTGAATTTTAAAGGAGAATACAAATATTAGATTACATCCGAGAACTAATTGAAACAGAACCTTTCCTATAAGGTGGCTGCATAAATTACTTACTCATCTAATATTTGTAACAAATATTAGTTTTACATATGAGAACTTATTGAAACAGAACTCTTCCTAGAAAGTGGCTGTGTAGATTAGTTACTCCATTAATATTTGTACATTGTAACTTCTAAGTTCTAAGTTGCAATTAGATTTTATTGAATAAATTTGAAGGCTTTATTCAAGTCTTTTTTATATAACTATTGTCTTGCATTTTAATTTTAATTTTAAAATACTAACTTTAAAATACTTAATTTAAAAATTGAAATTTGAAATTTGAAATTTCAAGTTAAATTCTTTTAAAATATTAAAATTACAAATTTGAACTTCTCAAATTTGAAATTTGAAACTTGAAACTTGAAATTTGAAATTTGAAATTTGAAAACTTAAGCATTTTTTATTAGCTAAAAATATTATTGAAAACTAAATAAACTAAAAATGTTATTCAACAACATATAAATTCAATACAAATAAATAAACATATAAAAAAAATAAAAATCTCACGTCCCGTCCCATCCCGTCATGCCAAACCCCGTCCCATCCCGTATATATAGTGGGACGGGATGGGACGGTTTTTTATTCCCCCAATCCCGGTCCCCCCAAAATCCTGGCCAAGGCGTCCCCTGTCCCGTCCTGTCCTCCAGTCCCCGTCCCCTTGCCAGTCCTAGTTGGGAGTGGAGACTAGAAGTAGAACTATTACAATATTTCGTAGTAGGCATTGAACTGATAAGACGAACAAAAAGAGTTTTCACTTTATCTGCTTCCACTAGCTTTGAAACAAACAATGGCTGGACTTCCAAATAATGAATTGACGTCAATTATCAACTAATTTTAGTCACTAATTTGAAGATATTGGTGATAATATAATCAGTTTCATCCCTAATTTTGTTGATAACTTGTAACAAACCTCAAATGCATCGGCTACATACTTTTATTAGTGACAAAAATAAATTTCATTAAAAATGTTTTGTCTACAAAGCTTTCTCATGCACCATAAAAATTAATTATTGTCAATTATTAGGTAATTTTAGCCACGAAATTGAGGATATTGATTATGATAATATTTCTCGCTACTTTTGTTGAAAATTTATGACAAATCATTATTTATCTTTAAATTCGCGTAAGTTTGGATTAAAAAGGTTTCATCACAAAATTTATATAATCGAATTAGCGATATAATAATATTCGTAGTGAAATGGCGTAAAATTTAGCTATTAACTATCTTTGAACTTTCTAACTTCTGTTCTTAGGAAAATGGGCTTTGCTCATGAGGTTTTTATTGAAATGGTTTATCAAATGTTTGCGAACAATTGATACTCTGTGATCATTGATGGGACAAGATTTGATTTCTTTAAATCAACCAGGGATCTAAAACAAGGTGATCCTTTATCTCCTGCTCTTTTTATTATTGCCGTTGAGACTCTTTCTAGAGCCTTGAATTATTTGAATCATAATCAGAGGTTCACTAATTTCTCTATGCATAACAAGGAACCACTGATTAATCACCTTAGTTATGCTGATGATATTGTTTTGTTTACTTCTGGTGATAAGTGCTCGATTTAGCTTCTTATGAAACAATTGAATTTGTATCAACAAGCTTCAGGATAGGAGATTAATCAAGAAAAATCTTACTTTTTCCTTGACTAGAGGTCTCGAGTTTGAGTCTCTCTGGGTACAGAGTTGTTGCCTTTGTTAGGGAGTACTTTATCCCCCAATGTGAACTTTTCGGCGCAAATCTGAATTTAGTCGGGACTCCAATATGAATACCGAACACCAAGTTGAAAAAAAAAACTAATCTTACCCACTCATCTTGTACATAATTAATATCTAGGTTATGCTCCCCTTCTACAAATTGTAATTCACAATTAATAGCAATAAAATTTTGACTTGATTCGATATTTTTTTTAACAAAAGCGTCACCATCCAAATTATCTAATTCGAGACCATTTCTTAAGAAGTCTCTAGTTATAATAATTGCATGGAAGTTTTCTCTCAATAACCATTTATTATTTAATGTATTTGTATTAGTTAAATAACTAATAACTTGATCAATATCTTAAATAAGGTCTTGATTAACTAGTCGCGTGAAAATCAACTTGAGATTATTTTAGCCTATTTCAAACGAAAATGTCGATGGAGTATTTTGGATGACCCGTATATATATATATATATATATATATATATATATAAAAATCATATCATATACCTAACATTTAACAAGTCAAAGCTTTGATTGAATTAAATGAATTATATATAATTTAACTATCTAAACTAATTAATATCGACAGCTCTATAATAAGATAGCATTGTCTAATTAGCTTAATTATAATTAATAACTCATGTATGTTTGGTCGATCGTACACAGTACTGCACCCTTTTCCTTGTCTTTTTTAATTAGAACACTTCCTCTTATTTTATGCGTAATCAATTTATTATTAGTTGATCAAACTGCTTTATATAAATAAAAATAAAGTTTATTTATGTATTAGTAAATATCAAAGTATTTATATAAGCTAAGTGCTTATCTAAGTCAATTTAGTTATATACAATAGATTAGTCATTCCTAACTTATGATTTTTTTTAGCTTATCAACATTTTTATTTGACCAATTTTTTAATTAATTTATCAAACTATCAAATTAATCAGCTAACTCACGCGGGCTTTATTACTCTAGGAAATCAAACAATCTTTTCTCTACTAAGATACTAATATATTTTAAAATATATATTATACAAATAATAATAATTTTTGTAATATTTTAAATATATAAATTTTCTTTTAAAGATATTAGAAAGTGGTAACCAAATTAAAAAGTATGCGTTGACCATTCTGCTCCAATATCCATTAATTAATATTGTCACTATTTGTTATAAATTACCAAACACTAGACTGAATTATATTGACTAAATCTTAGTATTTTACCAAATATAGTATATGAAGATGATCATGACTACTTTAGGAATAATTTATTTACTGGTTGATTGCTATATGCTACGTACGTATACTTTGCCATTGTCAATTTTGAAATTTGTCTAACTTTATTGGTCACTCTAGTATACGTGTTGACATCGTGGGAGTAACCTTTTTTTATTGTATTGTTGTCCATTTGTATTGTATCATATTATGACTTTAGATATAATATTTATGTTGATTGTTACTTCTTCTTTCTTAAAAAATAATTTGTGGAAAATGAAGAACGGGATTGGGGATTCAAATCCTCACTAATAAGGTGAACGTTCAGATTATCAACCAACTGGTATTAAGATTCCTCTGTAAATTGTTTGTGAGGTTCTATGGTATCTTAACGTTAAATTTTTCATCAATTTTATCTAGATTGATTTAGTGTAATCGATGAGCCTCGCCTAAATGAATCGATAAGATGACGAAATAAGAAGAAAAAAAAGGACTAATTAAGATCGAAGAGAGTAACATAAAACTGTACTATAGTAGTAATAACTTATTTTATTCATCTCATAATTAATCTCTGCATTTGCAAGGAGATTGAAACTGAGCAAACATACACAAAGACATAAAAGTAAAAATACAAACAATATCAATAACTTATATTACATGAAGCTACAAAAGAACTTCGCCTTATGTGGGGCTTCTTATTTACTATAATATAACTTTCTTCTTTTTTCATTGTCTCTTGAAAATGGAAAGTACCTTTCTTTCAGCTCAACATTCCACTTTCCTGCATAAGAATATACTATTGTGATGAGAACATATAGTAGAAGCTAACCAAATAAGAAGTAGACAGCATAGGTCTATATATTAATATTTGCATGAAGAAATTGTGCAACTTATTGCTTTGTATTTTAGACATATCATTTTAAAAAGTTTTAATTTGTATTAATTACCTTGATATAATGAAGTGGCTTCTTAGTAATGGTAGGGAGGAGGGGGAGAGGTGTAAAGATAGTAAGGTGGTGGAGGAGAGTTGTAGACAGGAGTTGGTGGTGGTGGCGACTTGTAGACTGGAGTGTGTGGAGGGTAGTATGGCTCCTTGGGTGGTGGTGGTGACTTGTAAACGGGAGTTGGTGGAGGTGGCGACTTGTATGTTGGGGTGTGTGGAGGGTAGTATGGCTCCTTGGGTGGTGGTGGCGACTTGTAGGTTGGGGTGTGTGGAGGGTAGTATGGATCCTTGGGTGGTGGTGGCGACTTGTAAACGGGAGTTGGTGGAGGTGGAGACTTGTAGGTTGGGGTGTGTGGAGGATAGTATGGCTCCTTGGGTGGTGTTGGCGACTTGTAAACGGGAGTTGGTGGAGGTGGCGACTTGTAGGTTGGGGTGTGTGGAGGGTAGTATGGATCCTTTGGTGGTGGTGGCGACTTGTAAACGGGAGTTGGTGGAGGTGGTGACTTGTAGGTTGGTGTGTGTGGAGGGTAGTATGGCTCCTTGGGTGGTGGTGGCGACTTGTAAACGGGAGTTGGAGGAGGTGGCGACTTGTAGGTTGGGGTGTATGGAGGATAGTATGGCTCCTTGGGTGGTGGTGGCGACTTGTAGGTTGGTGTGTGTGGAGGGTAGTATGGCTCCTTGGGAGGTGGTGGTGACTTGTAAATGGGAGTTGGTGGAGGTGGCGACTTGTAGGTTGGGGTGTGGGGAGGGTAGTATGGCTCCTTTGGTGGTGGTGGTGACTTGTAGGTTGGTGTGTGTGGAGGGTAGTATGGCTCCTTGGGAGGTGGTGGTGACTTGTAAACGGGAGTTGGTGGAGGTGGCGAGTTGTAGGTTGGGGTGTGGGGAGGGTAGTATGGCTCATTTGGTGGTGGTGGCGACTTGTAGGTTGGTGTGTGTGGAGGGTAGTATGGCTCTTTTGGAGGTGGTGGTGACTTGTAAACGGGAGTTGGTGGAGGTGGCGACTTGTAGGTTGGGGTGTGTGGAGGGTAGTATGGCTCCTTGGGAGGTGGTGGCGACTTGTAAACAGGAGTTGGTGGAGGTGGCGACTTGTAGACAGGGGTGTGTGGAGGGTAGTATGGCTCCTTGGGTGGTGGTGGCGACTTGTACAACGGAGTGTGTGGAGGGTAGTATGGCTCTTTGGGTGGTGGTGGAGATTTGTAAACCGGAGTTGGCGGCGGTGGAGATTTGTAAACCGGTGCGGGATGATATGGTGTTGGTGAAGGGTGGTATGGCTCCTTTGGTGGTGGGGGAGATGAGTATTGATAATTTGCTGAACTTTCAGATGCTAAGCTAAGTGACACTAAAACCACTAAAAGAGTGGCAACTAGAGAGGCCATTTTCCCCATATTTGAAACAAAGGAGAAAGTTGTTGTCCTCTTAAGCTTCACTCAAACCCCTTTATATAGTTTTCATTTACACAATTACCCTTACAAAGATTTTGTAAATGTAGGTAAAATGCTAGAGTTATGCATTTTTATTTGATTTTGTCATGTTGTTTGCTCAATTTGACTTTAGTTTGTATATTTTATTTAATTTGATGGATAGAGGCATCAAGCTAAGCAAATGAATAAATTATTAAGGCAGCTATACTGTTTGTGATGCAATAATTCAAAGAGATTGAAAGTCTTATTCTTCTTTACATAATCTTACCAAAAAAATGCGTGGATGCCTCAACTTTGCACGATTTTGGCCTCATAAATTAATGCACTTTTTAGGTACGGAGGAAAATATCATCTCACATAAATAAGTTTTTTACTTATTTTTTAGTGTTCGATAAATAAGTAAAAATAATATTTCACATTCATATGTAAGCTAACAAACTTTACGAACATTATTCTCAAACATTTTAGCATTGCTCATTTGCGAAAAATATATTTGAACTTGTCAAAGGTGTGATAGTCTAATCAATTGAACACACCACATGTAGCAACATTTAATTTTAATGAGCCTAAATTATATATGTCATGTTGGTGAGAAAATATGTATGCATTTAAATCAGTATTTAAAGATAAATTTAGTTTAATGATATTAATTGATATGTAAAATAATGCAAATGGCCTTTATAGTTAATGCAATCAAATGTAGTTGGTCTGTGAAAAGATTAAAAGAAAAGGACCGGAGTGACTAAATCAAAATTTAGGCTCGTTAATTGGTATGCTATTATTAATAAGAATACTAATTTTGAGATAAAATATTCAATCATTTATCGTTTGATTGAAACTTTAGTTTCTAAATATAAGTAATTTCGAAATTAATTATATCATAATTATATATAATTGTACCAAAGTTGTATATGGGATAGCAATCCTAGATTAATTAGCTAATTCCATGATAATACAACCAAACTATAAGTTCTTTAAGAAATTAAAGGTAAAATTAAAAATTAAAATTTGTCCAAATTTCATTAATACAAAATCAACTAATCAAGTAAAAAATTCTATATTATACCGTATATATCTTATTTCCAATTCAATGAACACCAAATGTAGTCATGATAAAAGAATTTAATATTATCTACAAAAACATTAATTATTATTTCAGTTTTTATAATATAATTCACTCATTATAATCAATCAAATTGACCCCTAAAGGAATTGGAAAGTTAAATATTTAGGTCCCAATACTGAATAAATTTTGCCTAAATTTAATGCTAAAGATTAATACAATGAACTGGGTAGCAAAGATGGTGCCACTTATTAATAATTTGGTGGATGAAATGAATGAATTGTTTTTGGTGTCCAAATTTTGATTGATTGAAATCTACCAGAAATTTCAAATAGGAGAGTTGAACTGAATCTGAACAGATTGAATTATACTGAGTTAATAAATGAATGGGTTATTAGCTATTTGGATTGAAACGGATTGGACTGAATTAAGTTAAAATTCGGCTTATAATTTAACCCCTCCAATTTTTACTAAAGTTTAATTGTTTTGTTTGCTCTTTTGTAAATTTTTAGTACCGAATAAAAAAAAAATTATTGCGACTATGTATAATATATCAAATTAAAAGAATTTTTAAAAAAATAAAATTATAAGCTAATGTGAATTACACATCAACTCAATTTTTAATATGAATTAAAATAAATTGGGTTGAATTAAGTTAAGTTAATAAATGAAATCTGCTCAAGAACGGAATAGGGGAGTTGACAAATTCAATTGATTTTGACACCCCTAAAATCTACCATAATATATTTTATATTTAAAAATTATTTGAAAGAGTGTATAAAATTAATATTAAATTATAGAAAGTAATTTATGTGTGCCGAGTCAAATGCATCCGATTAATAATGATAGCTACTCATCTCTAATCCCAGTTAATCAAAGAAATAGTAACAAGGAAAAGTAGTTTTCTTATTTGACTTTCTATGATTATATTGGTAATAATCTGATAAAAGAAAATTTATTCAAATTATGCTCAATGAATAATAGAGATGCAATAACTATGAAATAATTAAGATATTGTATCTTTAAAGATAAAGAACGATGTGAACTTTTTGTACGTATAATAAATATACTGTTCTAACATAATTGTTTTCATAAGCACTAATACTAAATTTTATAATATTTTGCATAATATTATCTATGAGGATCAAATAACAAGTTTCGTAAATTTATTACTGAAAATGTTTTTCTTGCATAAAAATTTATGCATGATGTTAGAAAGAACTATTTTAGTGGTATCCTTTGGAAAATGAAAAAACATCATTACTCATATTCACAATATATCAAGCACTATTACTTGGAAGGTTTGACATTTCTACAAGAAAGTTAATCGAGTCGTAAATATTTTAGCAAAATGGTGTATTATTATCAAAAGGAAAATAAAACAAAAAATACATAGATGTATATACATATATATAAAATGGAAAAGGAAATCAATAATCTAAATTCAGTTTTACGCTAATATAATATTGTCCTCATAACTAGAATTTCTATAATGATTATACTCGCTATTTTCTTTAATTCCCACAAATTACTATACTCGTTTTCCTCCTCTTTTTGCTAATCCTGAACACGTAAATTAATAGAAAATTTACATAAATTCCACTAGTTTGGAAGTTAATTACTTAGATATCCTCTAGTTTGTAATATTATATATATCTTATCAGATTTTGGTGCCTTGAGATACATGTATCTCGAATGCGTGGATCAAATTTAGGTGTAATTAGTTCTAGACAGGGGCGGAGTTAGCCTTCTTTTAGGGGGTTCATCCGAACCCCCTTCGGCGGAAATATTACTATTTATACATGGTTAAAATTATTTTTTATGTATATATAGTAGATGTTGAACCCTCTTCGGTTAGTCCGTGTGTTTAGTTCTTCTGATTTTTAACTCCCTTATTAAAAATCCTAGTTTCGCCACTAGTTCTAGATACATTGTATCTAAGTGAATTCGCATGTATCTAGGATACATAGCAAATCTCGCTTGCCTTCCTTGCCTTTGTTCCATCTCGCTCGTCACACTTACATGTATCTGATATCCCAGATTATATGTGAATCACTTTTTAATGTATTATATATATATATACACAAAAAAAAAACACAATTCACATATAACACTATATCTTTTCCAAAAATTAAAATAAAAAAATATTTCAACTTTTTCTGGATAATTTTTTGTTTTGAAATAATCTCATTAGAATAATAGTGCTAAATATTATATATATATTTTATTTTATTTTTAATTATTATTATTATTTTCAACAGGCCAAATAGGCCCAACTTAAAAATAACAATGGTAGAAATAAAGAAAAAATATATAAAAATAATGTAAGCTAGTCTATATTAGAACTTAAGTCCCTTCTGTAGAGGGCTGTTGCACTAACCATCTACGCTACACATACTTTTGAATCAAAATTTATCACAAAAATTTATATATATCTCAATCTTTCTGCTGTATTTTAATTATATATACATATTTTGCAATTTTTTTCGATGAAGTCGTGTCCCGTGAATCGTGACACCCCTTAGGTATTACTAGATCCGCCCCTGCGTACGAATCTCTCTCGCTTTCGCTCGCCTCTCTCCTTATTTTTTTGTGTATCTAATAGCAAAAATACATATATCTAAGTATAAAATACGTAGCAAAACTTTTAATTAATGATAAAATACGTAATATTTTAAAAATATAGATAATAATAATATATATAGTAATGACATACTGAAATATATATGTCTCATTATGTAGTTTTAACAAAATTAAATTAATCTAAATTGTGGTTGGTTTTTGTTCTTCCTGGACTTCAATGATTTATTGCCAAGTTGTCATACATTTATAAAGTAATTGAATTCCACTTTAATTTTTAAAGTTATTAAAAATATAATAATAATAATATTCAATAATTGAACTCTGGGACCATCTTCATGGACGATTCCATCTAACGACTTTGACATTTTAATTGAAAAAACAATTAAGTATTAGCATTAACTTAATCACCGACAAAACTAAAATTACTAATGTATTTATAAGATCCCATTAATTAGTTAAACTAAATTAATATTTTAATCGTCCTAAGATTAAGGGATATGGATGTATAAACAAGTACAGATCTAGTCTACATTGTGATTACCGACATACTTATATTAGACAAATACTTGTCTTAACCAGTCAAACATCTTCTATTCTCTTTCCTTTACTCTTTTTTTTTTTTAAAAAAAAAAAAATGTGTGGGTAGGTTGCTTTTTTTTTTTATTACTGATTATTTGTTTAATCATTTTTATTTTTTAAACTTTGTTTTAGGAAATTCAATTATTAAGTTCTTGGTGAGCAATTTATTCAACTGAGTGAGGCTAACATGTCTTAACATTTTACGCCTAAGAAACGAGTTATTGTATATTCGTTATTAAAAAATCACTATTTTTTCATTAAAAAATGTTCACCAGCTATTTATATAAAATAAAATTAGTAAGTTTCTCACTGTATCAGTGAGAATCTATATTTACCATACATTTTTAGCTGGCTTTGAGCTATTTATATCTATAAAATTAATAAGTGTTTTTTACCTTGTTGCCTCTTTCAAACATTTGTTCATATTCTATTAAAGACAAGTATTCTCGTCACATTCAGTCTAAAGATAATCTTTTTCAGGTTACTCAAGATCAATCTGAATTTTACTAATAATGTCCTTATCTTTGAAATAAATTTACTTTTAATTTTGTAATTCTAATTCTATAGGAGTTAATTTTTCAGATGGTCACTCAATTAGTAGTTATTTTTATACGAAGTCACTCAACTTTTTTTTATAATACCAAAGTCACTTAACTAAGAATTTTTCTCACACAAAATCACTCAACTAAGCCCCGATTTCTTCTCACATAAAGTCACTCAATTTTCTTTTATAATCTCAAAATCACTCAATTTGAATATTTTACCTACAAAATCATTCAACTATTGATATTTGACTTAGAAAGTCACCCAAACAATTTAAATAATTTTTCATTAAATTTTATTGAAATATAATTTTTATTTTAAACTATATTTTTTAAAAGAAAAATTATAAAAAGTTTAATTATACGAATTAGTTCGGTTCACATTTTGTACACATAAATTTCAAAATTAAAAACTAAAGAATCAAATCGAAGTTTAATAAAATCGAATCGAACATACGAAGATCCGCAAACGCGGAGGATGAATTGTTGACTATGGGGAACTCTGGATGTGATCTACAATCATTCAATTTTGACTGAGAGTAGACCTCATTATTTATCAGTTTTAGAGACATGTAGCATGTGGGTGATGTTAAAATGGGTCGATGTCAACTTATACGTATCCGCGCAATGTGTGGAAATTTTAAAATATTATTTTAAATTATTTTAGATTATATTAGTAATATTTTGTTTAAGTTTCTTAAATCATATTATCTTACAAAAATTTGATAACGAATTATGTGATTATCAAATAATTTTTTATTTCATTACCGTAAATGGACTATTATACTTGAATTTGATTGAATTATAACCATAAGTACATGAGATTCGTTGGTTATTTGAGTATGCTATTATCATAAGTTTTTAAAGTTTTTTTAAAAAAAATCGTGTTAAATCAAACTAGATTATATAAATTCAAAGGAAGTAGTATTTTGTGTTTCTAACAATATTTTCTCGATCCATTGCTTTCCCATAGTATGCTAACATGGGAGCCACTTGTAGATGTTTCATATATATATACTAGATAATTTAAGGCCCGTGATACGGGCCCAATATAGTTTCATATATTTTGTTGTAAAAATTACATAAATTCACAACTTAATATATCATAATCCCCTCTCGGATATATTCTTATTCCCTATCAAATACATTCATCCCCTCTCGGATCATAGATATCCCCTCTTGGATACATCCCTCCCATGAAGTAATATATATTATTAGTAATGTATTAGACAACCAAGGAATGTATTCAAGAGCAACGAAAAATTTGAGATTTTTGTAATTGAGGAAACTTCTGGGATAGGATGTAATTAGCCTCTAATTATATGAGATTTCTATACTTTGTACTATTTTTTTACAGTAAACAATTTCAATATATTACTTAATAATCTTTTTCAAATGTCCATACGACATAAATGTGTCGTTTACAACCCAAATTGAGAAAGTTGAATTCCAAAAAATTCTATGCAGCAAGGAAATAGAGAATTGTGTTAGATTATGAGTTAAAACATTTCGCATTCGAGGAATATATAAAATGTTGATATCTTTGAAAAAGTTCATCGATCTTCATATATTTTCGCAAGTGGTATCTATTTTTTACAATGTTATCATCTTCTTTTTGTAATACTTGCACCATAAGTTTTGCATCTGATAAAATACTAACCATTGGTCAACCAATTCGTAAAGATCGATTCAAAGCCTTTCAAATCTCTATTGCTTCAACTTAAGTATAATGTGTTTGTAGTTTGCTTTGTCGGTGAATTTTGTGATACATTTCATTATTGTCTTCGATAATAGAAATACTTCTATTTATTTTGGTTTTAATATTGAAAGTATTTATTAAAAACTTGATTTCTAACTTCCAGAACAATAAAAACAATCATGAAATCAATTATTTCTATATACAATAACAATTATCATAATGTTATATTCTAAATATTGAAAGTATTTATTAAAATATTGATTTCTAACTCCACAAAAATAAAAACAATCATGAAAGCAATTTTATTTTTAAATACGATAACAACTGACATAATGTTATATTCTAAATTATATTAATAATTCTTTTTGATACTGCACTCTAAATATCATGCTGTAAAAGAAAACCTTAAATCTTACCCCCACAAAATAACTAATATACTTGTTTTTCTTTTTCAAGTTATTATTTATTTTTTAGTTTTTTTCTTCCTCTATATTTCTCAAGCCCTTTTCTATTGACATTTTCATTTTTTGTTTTTTCTTTATTTTTTAACTACTCATTTTTCTTTAGTTTGTATTTTAATATTCCTTAGAATTTGAATATTAATTTTTTTTCTTGTCAAATTTTCCCTGTTAAATAGGTTATCATATTTGATATTAAGAGAATATTCTATATAGAAATGAAAATTTTATATTTTTTAATCTTTTGATGAATACATTATCAAATCATTAATTTCTTAATAGTTAAACATTGTTCATTCTTTTAGTCACGTAATTTTATATTTCTTCAAATTAATTAAAAAATATTGATCGTCATTTTAAAGATTATTTTAATAATCAAGATACGAATTTAGTGGTCATATTATGTAACATAATATTAAAATATGTTTACGCAATAACCCTTTAATGTATTTTTAGGAACAAAATATTAACTATTCAAACACATTTTATTTTAAATTAGTTCAAAATTTTCTTTCAAAAACATGTCAAAATAAGCTTAGCATTTATTATTGTTTGTAAAAAGTTAATTAATAGAAACTCTTCATTTTAACACAATTATAAAAACATCTTTATGGGCTAATTTTAAAAGTAAAGGCATGTATGGATTGTTCTAGATTTTCATTTTGGTCATTAATTATACAATTATTATTTTGCTCTTAAATAATATTAAAATTACTAAAATGCCATTGTTTAATAGATATTTTTGATTTAATGAAATTTCACACTACAAAAAAAATAAAAAAAATAAAAAAATAAAAATATATATATATATAGAAAATGTGATTGAAAATGTGGGTCCATATTAAATGTCACATTATTAGGATACACATGACATTTAAGAAAAGATATTTGGTTGTATTGTCATTATAAATCTATTACCATTTTTTTGATGCCATAACATAAAAACAAACATTCTAGAATATTTAGGAAATGACAGATTTGCCCTTGGTCGTCCTCAACTTGGCTCTTCTATATAATAGAAATATATATATATAGATGTAAATAATTCTATTTGAAAAAATTGTAAATTGTGTTCACATCAAAATTAAATAACTTTATTTTAGTACTTAAAATATCACCACATAAAATGAAAACAAACGTAATATTGTGATGAGAAATTAAAACATATATAGGAGTAGTAATAACTTATTTTATTCCTCTCATAATTAATCTCTGCATTTTGCAAGGAGATTGAAACTCATGAGCAAACGTACACAAAGACATAAAAGTAAAATATAAAAATAGAGTACAAAAACAATATCACTAAGACACTAACTTACATAACATGAAGCTACAAAAGAACTTCGTCTTCTGTAAGCCTTATTATTTACTACTATAACTATAATTTTCTTCTTTTTTCATTTGTCTCTTGAAAATGGAAAATGCCTTTCTTTCAGTACATTCTGCTTTTCCTGCATAAGAATATTATATTGTGAATGAGAACATAAAAAAGAAGCTAACCAAAAAGGAAGTAAACAAACATAAGTCTTTTTATTAATGTTTTGCATGAAGAAATAATTGTGCAACTTATTATTGCATTGCATTTTAGTTATATGTTTCTAAAGGTTTAAGTTCATCTTAATTACCTCAAATATAATGAAGTCACTTCTTAGTAATGGTAGGGAGGAGGGGGAGAGGAGTAAACATAGTGGGTTGGTGGTGGAGACTTGTAGACTGGAGTTGGTGGCGGTGGAGACTTGTATATTGGTTTAGGATGATATGGTGTTGGTGAAGGATGGTATGGCTTTACTGGTGGTGGTGGGGACTTGTAAACGGGAGTTGGTGGTGGTGGAGACTTGTATACTGGTGTAGGGTGGTATGGTGTTGGTGAGGGATGGTATGGCTTCACTGGTGGTGGTGGTGGGGACTTGTAAACGGGAGTTGGGGGTGGTGGAGACTTGTATACTGGTGTAGGGTGGTATGGTGTTGGTGAGGGATAGTATGGCTTCACTGGTGGTGGTGGGGACTTGTAAATGGGAGTTGGTGGGGGTGGAGACTTGTATACGGGTGCAGGATGGTATGGCTTCACTGGTGGTGGTGGTGATTTGTAAATGGGAGTTGGGGGTGGTGGAGACTTGTATACTGGTGCAGGATGGTATGGCTTCGGTGGTGACTTGTAAACGGGAGTTGGTGGTGGTGGAGACTTATATACGGGTGTAGGATGGTATGGCTTCGGTGGTGACTTGTAAACTGGAGTTGGTGGTGGTGGAGACTTATAAACTGGTGTGGGATGATATGGTGTTGGTGGAGGATGGTATGGCCTCTTGGGTGGTGGTGGCGACTTGTACACTGGAGTTGGTGGTGGAGACTTGTATACTGGGGTATGTGGTGGGTAGTGTGGCTCTTTGGGTGGTGGTGGATCCCTGTAAATCGGAGTTGGTGGTGGTGGTGACTTGTAAACTGGGGTGTGTGGAGGGTAGTGTGGGTCCTTGGGTGGTGGTGGCGACTTGTAAACAGGAGTTGGAGGTGGTGGAGACTTGTATACTGGGGTATGTGGTGGGTAGTGTGGCTCTTTGGGTGGTGGTGGATCCCTGTAAATCGGAGTTGGTGGTGGTGGTGACTTGTAAACTGGGGTGTGTGGAGGGTAGTGTGGCGTCTTAGGTGGTGGTGGCGACTTGTAAATAGGAGTTGGAGGTGGTGGAGACTTGTAAACGGGATGGTGATGGTGTGGTGGAGGAGACTTGTAAACTGGGGTGTGTGGAGGGTAGTGTGGCTTCTCAGATGGTGGTGGAGACTTGTAAACGGGATGATGATGGTGTGGTGGAGGAGACTTATACACTGGATGGTGGGGTGGTGATGGATAGACATGCACTGGTGGTGGAGGAGATGAGTATTGATAATTTGCTGAGCTTTCAGAAGCTAAGCTAAGTGACACTAAAACAACTAAAAGAGTGGCAACTAGAGAGGCCATTTTCCCCATAGTTGAAACAAAGAAGAGAAGTTGTTGTCCTCTTAAAGCTTCACTCAAACCCCTTTATATAGCTTTCATTTAGACATTTACCCTTTTCAAGAATCTCATTGATTAAGGTAAGTCTCAATAGAATACTTAAAACCTACCTAAAAGTTAAAAAGCATTTTGATTTGGTTTTGTCATGTTGTCTGCTCAATTTGACTTGAGTAATTGGTATACTTTATTTGTTGGATAGAGGCTGCAAGCTAAGCAAAAGAATAAACTATTATGGCAGCTATACTATTTGTGATGCAATAATTCAAAGAGATAGAAAGTCTTCTTTTTCGTCCTATCTTTTTAATAGTATATAGTTTAGTACTTAAGCTTTTAAAAATATGTGTGGATCCATGATCTTAGTAACAGAAATGCAGAACATCTTGTTATTTTATATGACTCTTTTTTTCCTTTTCCAATTGTGTCCTGAGTTCGCATTGAAGTCCTGACTAAATTCGAATCGCGCACTGTAGGATCCATTCGAAGGGTGGTGCTCCAAATAGAATTTTCTCAATATCCAGGACTTGCACCCGAAACCTATAATTAAAGGTGAAACAGTCCCCCCTCTGCATCATAACTTGTTGGTTTTATATGATTATGTTCATCATAAAAACAAAATTACTATTAAACATAATTGTACCAATTTCACATGCTTCATGAATTAATGTTAAATAGAATAAAGTTAACTTTCATCATGATTAGTGTCAATCTTTGTGTTGTTGAAAAGTTGATTTTCATCATGATTAATTAGTAGTAAATTAAGATTTGATTCATCCCTCTAGTGAAGAATAGGACATATGGATAGGAGAAAATAAGAAGAATTACTGAATTTATGGCATTCTGATGAGAAACATAATTGTACCAGTATTTCCTGCCAATAAAATAATAATTGTACCAATTTCCTACCCAAAAAAATAATAATTGTACCAATTAATTCTTTTGTATTCTCACTGTTTAAATAACCTTCACAGCTTCAAGAAGCATGACAGTGATCTTTCAATCTGTCCTTTCTCTAGGCTCAAGCTATAATAACAGAGAAAAAAAAGGTACATTACATTAAGGTGATAAATTGATCAATAAAAGTGATAATATACAAAAAAAAAAAAAAAAAAAAAAATTAAGCATTTTCAAGGTGATTTTTCAATTAAAATAAAGAAGCAATATATTACTTGACTTCAATCATGAACCCCAAAGTCAGTGGCGGAGCCAATATTTCTAGCGAAAGAATTTAAATGTATATATGCTTGGCCATATTCCAAGTTAGGGATGATAAGGGGACGGGGCGGGTTTAGGCAATGCGGGACGATTTTAAGCAGCGGCGAATTCAGGATTTTCATTAGGGGGTTCGAAAAATAACAATATAAACGTGTGAATAAGCATGTTTGGATATTTTTGGTTTAAATCTACTCTTTAAAAAAATTGTGAAAGATTGGTCCTGAAACTAAATGAAGAGAAGGTAAAAAAAATAAAAATGACCACAATGGGATTCTAACCCTGAACGTGAGGTCAGTCTAAAAGGAGATCTATCACTAAGCTAGTTCATGAATTCAGAAAGTTTACCTTATATATACAGTGTAATTTTTTTGCTGAGTGAACCCCCTGAAGACCACATGGATCCGCCCTGGTTTTAAGGTTGTGCGGGGCAGGGAGGATTGCGGCGCGGGCTGAAGTGGAATTTTTAAACATTAAGGCGGGGTGGAGCGGGTTACGAGTCTATGCGGCTTAATGTGAGTTTAAACTTAATTTTAATTTTTTACATGTTATAAGAGTGATAAAACATTATTTATTAAGATAGTTCATTTCTTTAAAGTTACTAAAATATTTAAAATAGTCAATAAAAATGGTTCAATCAAAAGTAATATGGTTTCATACATGCTTCCCAATTGACCTCTACAAAATAAAATTTTATGTTATTATCTATTAAATTAATACAACTTAATGAGAAAATAAATTTATTTTTATGTATTTTTATTTTTAGTATCAAATTTAATTAAAAAAATATTTAAAATATTATGTGGAGCGGATCCATGCGAGGCGGATCTATGCGGGGTGGGATGAGACGAATTGAAATAAAAAAAATTATTATACATGACAAAGTGAAACAGGTAAAAAAATTTACGGATTAAGCTCAATCCAAACCACAGCCGCCCCCCTTACCATCTCTAACCCAACCACACTCCCCAACATGGAAGGGAGTGGGGGAATTTTAGCATTTTTACTAGGTCATTTTCAGAGAGTTAAATCTAGAGAAGACAAGAGAAAAACTACGCATGTGGCCCATTAATATTCTTTCCTTTTGGTTGGCAGAGAAGGCAAAATGTTCAATGATTTTTATAGCTCTATATTGAAAATTTATGTGATTCAATTGGATATTTATTAATATATCATAAATATAAAAGGTAAAACAATTTGATCTTATGTACGTAAAGTAAATTTTTCAACAAAGAGGTTTGGATGCCTCCCCCTACCACCCCAATCTAATGACGGAGATAGAGTTTTAGCTAAAAGTCGAATAAAATTTCATTACTTTGATCAAAAATTTTATATTTGTATTAAGAAAAATCAACTTAATATGTATAATTAATAACGCATTTGGAATCTAATAAAGTAGTTTACTTAATTTTAAAACTCAATATCACAAACTTAGAATTCTGGATTCATCTCTCCCGTTCCGACTTGGAGGGAAGTTTGGAAATTTCTTTCATGTGTATCACTTTAATTAACTAGGTCATTTTCAGAGAGTTAAATCTTATAGAAGAATCGAGAAAAACTTTACATGTGGCCCATTTTCAGTACCAAATAAAGCAATTTGTTCTTTCTCTTTTTATAGTAGAGAAGGCAAGAAATTCAACGATCGATATTTTGTAGCTCAATATTGAAAAAGTTTATGTGATTCAACTAAGATATATTTTTGAATTTTAGTATATCGTTATAAAAATATTTAGCGACAATTGAGTTAATGTCATTACATCAGAATCACTAAATAAATTTTTTAGTGGCATTTATATAGAGTGTTTTAGTTATAAAAACTTATATTTAATATAGCAATGATTATATTATTACCTATAAATAATTGAGATAAAATATTTTATTGTTATAGTGTTATCATCGTGGGAAGTACAGATCAAGATGTAGAAAAATTCATGTTTAAGCAATGGACTAAAGTTGAGAAAAGGTATCCAAAAGCCCAAAAATAAAAAAGGAAAAATGGAATCCAGAAGGATCCAGACATATACAACATGTATGTTCAAATTATGGTAGGCAAATACATTTAAGTATTACACAATCATATTATTATAAAAAATAATTATCCAGGAGAGAGGAAAGAAACAAGGTAATATAAAAAATAAAAAAAACTGAAATTAGCTTTAAACTATGTTGCTAAATTGTTCTTAGCTAATAAAAAAATTAAAACTCATCACTGAATAGAATTAACACCGTATTTTACTATTTGGCGATAAAATTTATCTAGCGTTAATTCTTGTTTATTAAAGTGTTATTGTGTGAGGGTAAACATTTATCTTGAAAAGAGGAGGAAAAAGGTTGTAACAACTTTCTGAGAAAAGAAAAGATCCCATATCACTTGTATAATAATTATTGATTCCTATACTATCATTGATGGAAGCTTAGGACCTTAATTTTCAAAAGCATAATACATTTTTTTTTATATTTATAGTAATTTGTCGAAGGCAAAATCTAATAAAAGGAAGCTTCCAAGTTCCATCTTAACCAATAGCCTATTGTACTATTTGAAATAAAAGGAAGCTTCCACCTTAACAAAAATGAAATAATAAATTTCGTCGCTAATGTATCGCTATAAATTTTAATTGATAACTATCGATTATTTATTGTTAAATAAGATTAATGATGAATCTTGTTATTTAAAGTTATAGAATTAGTCCGTCGCTAATTCTTATTTTTAATGATGTAAAATATTTGGACCTTTTAGAATATGTATTTTCAAAGATTGAAATTTTAAAATTCTAAACAATAGTGGCTCATAACTGAAAATTTGACTTGTCAAATGGAGAGAGGACAATCAATTCAACAAGAGATGAAGCAACATTTAATTGTTAGGGTGATTTGCAGTTAGTGGGGGAACCAAAAAATTTATGATGCTATTAGTGAGATTCGAACACACAAATATTTTATGTTTGCGTGTGTTTAGTACTCTTTCAAGGCACCTAAAATCACTAGTCTACGTCATATTATTGTCTATCAATCTAGTTTAAGGCTAAAGTGGTGGACTATACTTTTATGAGAGTCTTCTATTTAACTAACGTATTCCTTTTTCATCTCTCGCATATCTTTATTTTAGAGTTGAAAATAAAGATTGGACACCGAATCATAGTAATTTTTCAGTAAGTAATATGTTTTTGCTTCAAATTTTAGTTGAACACAAACTACTCCAAATTCGATATTCAATTTTCTAGCTAGCTAGTTCCAATCTCAAAAAAAATTAGTTGTTAGATTCTGTAAGGCCCCATGAATGCTTGAAGACTATATAATTAATAATTTTTGTGCTTAATTATATTGATAGTTAAATAGACTCCAAAAAATCTGCAGACTCACACGAGAGTGAAAAGACTAGCTATATAAAGAAGTGACCACATATTTGTTGTGTAATTTAGAGAAAGTTGAGACAATAGGAGTAGACCTAGTGACGAAATAAAATAAAATATATGTGTTTGAAATCGATACTCACGCCTAAAATGTTCCAAGAGCTTAGTACTCAAGAGGGGGAAACAGCGAGCTCTTTTCATTACATTTCTACCATCTCCAGATCTAGAACGAGTGAATAATTAAAAGTGAACGCTTCACGTTCGAGCTAGCCTCCAAAAGAGAAAAATACAAATTTCTAAGAAAAGGACAAGTTAAAATATGATAAAGGCACACAAGGAAACCAAGGCTCCAAGTAGTGAACAAAGGTTAGCCCACAAGTTAATTCAAAAGATTATTAGAGTGAGTTGGTCAAATGAGATGATGCCACTTATGAATAATTTGGTGTATGACATGATTGAAATT